GCTTGCTGGCTACAGGGAGGCATGGCTGAGGAGGCAACACATTTATAAGCCCAGGATTCTTCCTTTTAGAAAAGGTTACTAATTGTTCAAAAGGGTTTCATCCTGGAGATTACCCTAGTTTGGATACCCCCGGGATTTTGTTAAAGCCATAACTGTACTCTGGTGTAACATGTGTCTTTCTATTACAAACATTTATGCCACGTATCACAAACATATTTTGTATGTACACAAATGTAGGGATTTCAATTGATTTGGAACCAAAACAAACTTTTCTTCCAATTCCATTTCCCCAGAAACATTGTCTTGTGTGGTTTTAGATGGGTAGGTGCAGGAAATGAAAAGTAAACCCACTTGCCTGAGCATCCACACATAGGCCAGGCTGCACACTGTTGGGAAGGGCAACTTTGGCAGGTCCCCTGTTCCGTGCAGACCAAGCCAGCTTCTGAAAACTTTGTGGCATAGGTCAAGCCCTGACATGGACCTGGTCAAGTGGCTCAAAGTCGTGTGGGCCCTGGTAATTGTGGAGTAAGATGTGGAACCGTGGCCCTGTGGGCCCACACTCCCCTCTCCTTGCTGACCTCAGGACCTCCTGGCAGTCACCACCACCCTGGACATTTCCCTGGGGGACTTGCAGACAGGCGAACACACCTGGAGGTCACAATGATCAGAACGCACACCCACAACGGACGTGACACATGACCCAGAGACCAGATAGCTCACACCAGGCTAATAGTGGATGCTGTGGGATCTCCAGCAAGTCTCCCAACGTGGCAGACACCCAGGAACATGATGGAAAATGGGGAGTTCAATGAAATGATCTTTAGAAACTCTTTATAGTTCTACCCCTCCATTATTCAGTGAAGTTGAAGCTATCCTACATGGCTACAAGGGCCCAGAACCTGGGCCATCCTCTGCTGCTCTCCCAAGGCCATTCACAGGGAGTTGGATTAAAAATGGAGCAGCCAGGACTTGAACTGGCACCCATAGGTGATGCCAACATCATAGTCAGCCACTTAACCTACTTTGTCACAATGCTGGCTCTTTGTAACCAAGAGGCAAGGGCCGGGAAGGGACCATAGCTACCATTTCATTCTGACATCCTTCTCTGGAGCAGTTGGGAGTAATCAACCCACAACATGTGGTGATGATGTATTCACAAGGCCTTAAAACAGAAAGCTGTCACTGATGGACAAAATAGATGGTATCTGATGACTGTTTCAAGCACAAAGTTGAACTCTTTAAGTGCAATGGATAACCTAAGGGGCCAGCACAATGGTTCAATTGGCTAATCCTCCTCAGCTTACAAGGGTTGGTAGCCCATATGGGTGCTGGATTATGTACCAGCTTCTCTACTTCTCATCCAGCTCCTTGCTTATGGCCTGGGAAACAAATAGAGAAATGGCCTAAAGCCTTGGGACTCTGAACCCATATGGAAACCCAGAAGAAGCTCCTGGCTCCTGGCTTTGGATCAGCTCAGCTCCAGCCATTTTGGGTACTTGGGGAGTGAGCCAGCAGATGGAAGATCATTCTGTTTCTCCTCACTTTCCAACTACAAAAAGACAGATTAAATACTTCAATCCTCTGTCTAACAGTCTCACTACATTTGGTTTCTGCTCTGGGTCTTCTGGGTACTATCAAGATTCCCAAGCTCTTGGCCCAAGCCTTTGATGAGACCACCACTGGCACCTGCTCCTGTAGTCTTCTAGAACACTGTTAACCACCCAGTCTCCCTGCCCTGAGTCTTCCCCATTCCCAGGGGGACTTCTCATCTCCCTAGTCTGAGAGACTGCAAAGGGAGCGAGGCAGCCCTGGGGTGTCCTGAACTGAGCAGTAGCTCTGGAGACTTGCTTCAAATGCTGTCTCCTTTCCACCTAGGATCCCCAGGGAAGCTAAAGAAGCTCAATTGCTGAACAACTGCTCATTGCAAACAACTGCATCAGAATCGGCCCTTTCCCAGGTCTGCTCTCAGTCTGCTCTGTCCTGGCACAAGGCCCTGCAGTGTCTCAATCGTGTCCCCAACATTCAGCAGCTACAGGTATTTGGCGGTGGGTCCTTTGGGAGGTGATTAGGACTATTCACGGTCACAGTGGTCATGATGTGATGGCATGTGAAAAGATGGCATGCTAGGATGCCTCACAAGGGCTCTCCGTGATACCAACTGTATTCTCAGACTTCTCAGCCGCCAGACCATGAGCCAACGAAACCTCCACCCTTTGCAAATCACCCAGTCTCAGGGACATTGATGCAGCAATGGGAAATGGACCTGGGGAGTGTGCAGAAAGCACTTCCAGGTTGTCTCCAGTGGGCTGGTCAAGCCGCACCTGCCCAACGCAGCTGGGGCTACTCCTCTGTGCTACGGGCCTGGCCAAAGGCATCCCCTTCAAGGAGCTGATACAACAACCAAGCAGGTGGGTGGGAAGGGCATCTGAAAGAACAAGTTAGAGGTTTCTGCACACACTTGCAGATGCCCCAGATCAAGGAGTCAGACTGTGCAAAGAACTATCACCCTGCAGTACTGGAAATTTCCCGAGTTCTCCACACTAAGCCAATTAAGAAAGGCTGGCTTCAAGGCCACCGGGAGCAGGTCTTAAAGAGCCAAACCTGGTGGGTGTAACGGCTTAGCTCCAGCCTCCTGAGGACCAATCTCCCTGGACTTCCCTTGTACAACAGGTAACCATGGAGATGTGATACGTTCCCTAGAATAAGTCTTATTACTCCACCTCAGGCACAAGGCACCCCTCAGGCATGCCTGGTCTTGCACACGTGCTTAGGAGTGCCTAGATGGAATTTCAGCAGAGTTAGGCACTGTGGAACCATAATGGACAGAAGAGTGGGGTGTTCTCTGTCTTTTCCCAGAGAAAATTCAACCACAGAAACATCCGGGGAACACTTCCAAGCACCTAAACAGAGTTTTGAATGTAGATTCGCATAACTCTTTGAAAAACAGACCCACAGCTAAGGGCTGTATTCTCTAGGTCAGTAACATTGTCCAGCTGCAGTGCTGGGTGGGGAGTGGAAGGTTGGCCTCCAATTTAGGTCCGATTTCCTAGACCTTGATTTGACTCCAGCTGCGGCCACATAGCCTCATTTGCTTTGCAGTAGTGAGACTCAATGGGTCTGACCATAAATGGCACTGTGGGTGCTTTGTACCTTGCTATCAGTCAGGCACAACCCAAGTGGGAACACAGAAGGGAGAACTATTGATGAGTAAGTTTTGAGAGTATGGGGTGCATTGCTGTGTTTGGCGCTGAGAGGAGGAAGACAGGATGAGGCATGGTTCATTTTTCCTTCCACACACAGTGCCTTACAGACTGCCCTGGGTCAGTCTGCCATTGGCCAGAACATCTCAGTAGAGCAGCAGGGGATGCTGGGCTGCTGTCTACAGCCTTCCAAGCAGCCCGGGGTTCCCTCCAAGGGTTCCCTCCAAGGGTCCCCAGGGGTGTCCCTGAGACACAGCAGGTCCTTGCTGCCATGCAAGAATTAATAACACAATGGAAGCCTCCAACGGAAGTACAGCTCTGCTCCGTGTCTCACAGGCCAGCATGTAAGAAGCAGTCTGGCAGTTCCCCATCAGTGGCACACTCAGGAGGGCAACGGTATTGAACATCACTGCTCCTCAGAAAGCATCAGTGGACATCATGCCAAAGCAGAGAAGGGACATTTGGGAGTGTAGAGCCAGGAGTATTTGCAGAACTGTATGGCTCCTATGTCCTCATGTCTCCTGGCACAGCTGCACAGCTTGGAATGGCCGCTTTAGAGGGATGAGACAGAGGTACTGAGGCCTCGGCCCCTGCTTAGAGGCCTGCAGAATGGGGTGTCACCACCCTCAGGCTCCTGCTGAGTTCAGGCAATGGTCTGGGGTCTCCCCAGAGAAATAGGAGAATGGGAAAGGCTGCCCCCACCTCAAACACACCAGCAATATCAGGATACTTGCCCAGACATCGGAAAATGTATCTTCATCCAACAATACATTTCCTGTGGAAAGGTTTTAAGTCACAGAAAGTGGTCAAGCCAAGAAGGGGACCATTAAACCATTCACACAGCAAGGCCAGCAAGTAGACGCTGGCCAGTCCAGCAACCTGCATGTGAGCTGGGAACACTGGAAAACACTTGCCACATTCTACTGGGCTTTCAGAGAATTCCTGCAATGAGAAGTAACTTACCTCACCAGCAGTCACTGCATAATTTACATGTTGAAACCATAATGCTTTGGACATCAGGGTTAATAGAACATGTTATTAAAATGAATTTCACTTTTTAATTTTATTTTAAAATTCATGTTGCATTAAAAATGTGGCTCCTAGAAAATTTCAGATTGGATTAGTGCCTTGCTTTAAATTTCAGCTAGGCAAAAAAAAACCTAGATTCTAATCCTGGTTAGAGCATGGTCTAGCCAGGAGACAAGCTGGACAGCCCTTATGGACTCAGACTTTCTTTTATTTCATTTATGAAATTTGTCCAACTTCCTTCACAGTCCTACGAGCAGCTAAGCTCGCTGTCCCTGACAACTGCTGGGTCAGCATTCTCCTTCAGGTTGTGTGCCTGCGTCAGACAGATGGGCAGGCGGTGGACTGCTAAAAGGTGACTTGCTGAAGCTAGGGGTGCTGTTCATACTCCATGCACAGATCTCCTGATTTGCTGTGACTATTTCCTGGCACAGGCAAGAAGCATCTCATTCTAGCAAAACACATGTATTACAATGCTTGATTTTCAACAGATGGAACTACGGTGTCCTGAGGCAGAGACACTTTCAGTGACGTGTCCTTGGGTTTGCATTGGTCAAAGTAAACCAGAACATTTGTCTAATTCCACTCCCATGGCCTTTCTGTTTTTGCTGGGGCCTCCATCTCGGTCACACGCCCGCTACATCTAAAAGCAAGTTGTCAGTGCCTACCCCCGAGCCTAGATCGTACCCAACATCACTGGCATTCAGGGCCAAAAGGCTAACATAAACAGCAGGCCCAGGCCCAAGCCCAGGCCCAGGAGGGGCTCACACTCACCTTCTCATTCTTCTTTTCATCTGGTTTGCAAGCTGTGTTGGTGGGGCTGCCTGTGGACAGGCCGCTGCCGGCCTCCCCGTTTAGGTTGGCCGCACTGACGTTGGGAGGTGTGATGGCTGAGGCTGCTGACGACAGAGGGATGGCTGGCCGGGGGCACACTTGCACTGGGGGCTGGTGGCCATGCTGTGGGGACACGTTGGAGCGGGGCCTGAGGCTGGTGGCAGGCAGGCGGGATGGAGAGTTTGGGGTGCGAAGGGGTGACACGGTGGCAGTCGGTCGCTCTTGACCTTGTGCTGAGGAGTGGGCAGCTGGAATGGGTTTGGAGAGAGTGGTTGAAAGGTTAGTGTGCACTCTGCCTGCTGCCCATTGGCCTGATCATGTCAGGAGCATCCTCTCACTGCTCAGTACCTCGTGGTGAAGTTGGCCCAGGCCTGGCCATGCTCGTGGTCCTACCCCTGCAAAGGGGGAGACACTGAAGTCAAGCAGTCTGTATTTTCATTTTTCCAGAGCTCAAGCTAGCAGGAAGCCCTACCCCAACCCCCAAAGCAATCCCCATCTCAGGCAGCCAACAGTTTTTCCAAGGTTGCTGTAAGCATAACCCTGTTCCAAGTCTTCCATGAAATCTTCTACCTAGCTTTTTCTACTGTGACAAATCAATGCATTCAAAACATTTTTAAGAGTTTATTTGCTCATTAATTATTTCAGCGACAGAGACACATTTCTCAAATGTCCTCTATGGCTGGGGTTGGGGCTGGACCTAGCCAAAGCCAGAAGCCAAGAACTCAATGCAGTCTCTCACATGACTGCAGACCCCCAAGGCTTGAGCCATCAACATTATCTCCCAGAGTACATTGGCAGGAAGTTGTCAGGACTGGCACAGAATGCAGACATTCAGATGTGGACACTTGGGAAAAGTTTTAAAAGTGTGTGGGTTAAGCTGCCCCCAAAATTCTTGGGGGAACGCTGCAATCATTAAGTATCATTGCAGGTAAGCAGTTTACAGAAGAGAGCTCAGCTCTCCTTGGTTCTGACCCCCAGAACCAGCCATGCAGTCCCTGGTCCCCACACTGGCTACGTGACCTTGCTGAACAAGGGCCCAAGGTGACCACAAGAAGGTTGAACACGGCTGGCGTCTATCCTGGTCCAGACAGCAGGAGAAGCTGTCCACATCTCTACTGTATTCTGCCTGCAGGTGCAGCTGCATCTGTACGTCAGAGTGCCAGAATTTCTGGATTTATAAAACAGGTGCTTCACAACTGAGCCCATGACTTTCTGCTGGCAAAATTGCTTTTTGGCAGATGCTGGGAATCCAAAGGCATCACAGTTGCAAAACGTTCCCATCCGAAAAGACAAAGTTCCCCGTAAACACAGCACCGCGTCAAAATTAACCTTGCCACAATTTTGTGCTTATGACTTAAAAGAATCTCCTCCTCGCTGACTAGATGAAACAAAGGAGGAAGAATGCAGTCAGCAAGGCACTGCGACTCCAGCTGGCTCTCAGTGGGCACTCAGATGCAGCGGTGTGACACGGCTCTGCTTCCCAAACACCCCTTCAATATATAACACACTCATAAATGCTGATGGCATATCATGGGCATGGGCAGAAATGCACCACGCATAAGCCTTCCACCTGCAAGCGGAGCCTTCTTTGCAGCACTGATGAGAATACTGTTAGATCTGACTCTGGATATGGATTCATTGGGATTCAGGGAGTCCAAGGTTTTTAGAAGCTGGTGGATTTTGGGGGGTGGGGGAGAATGCAAGTACTCAGAGAAGACACGATGATTGAACAGGGAAAGGAGGTGTTGACCTGAGCAGAGAGCAGCAGGAGAAAAGCAGGAGCTGCACAAAGCTGGAGAAGGAAAACTGTCGCACTAAGGGAGCAGCTCGAGACAAACAGGAGCTGTGTGGATGGGGGAGAGCTGCTGAAAATGCCCCAGGTTGCAGCCTGCAGCCCAAGAGGTAGGTGAGCACAAGCAAGCTACGCGAAGGCACTGCAACCTGCGGACAAAAGCCTAGTAGATCTGGAGCCATCAAAAGGGAACTAGAACAGGAGGACACCTGTGGGAGTCTCCCAAAAAGGCAGCACGTGGCAAAAGCCATAGGACAAAGCAATGATCCCAACATCAACAAATGGAGGCAAAACCAAGTGGAATTCCAGAAGCTGTCTATTTGTCATTCCCAGATTGGGACAGCCATACCATTGGGAAGCGAACCACTGGGGAGCAAATCAGTTGAGTGAAGGACCCAGGTAACAATCGGTGAGTCCACTCCACATCCTGAAGATTCATAGCTAAACCCTCTAATAGATACCAGGATCACCTGAAACCCACGGGGCAAAGACTGGATCGAATCAGTCACACAAATCCTGGTAAGACACAGAGACGCCCAAACACTTCACACTGGAAGACATTAGGACCCTGTGGCTCAGATTCCAACACTCAGAGTGTGAGCAAGGCAGGAGGGGGAAGTGAAGGCTGTTTGATAAAGACAAGTACTCCTCAAGGCTGGCAGTGTCCGCACCAGTGGCAGGGACAGGCCAGAGGCACGCTTGAGCAGTCAGGAGCATCGTGGGAGGGAATCAGAGAACTGCAAGCATCGGTGGGTTGACGTTTGGTGCAGCCCTAGGATAGCTGGGAAGGAACAGAGTTGCTGACCTGAATGACCTTGCTACTCCATGAGCTGTGGGCAGTGTGAGATAGCGTGGGGCATTGCTCGATGGGGCATGCAGCTCCATGCTTCTGCAGTCACCCTGGTGCCCGCCTCAGCCCCTATCCCAGCGTACACAGTATTAGAACAGTGACCCTGTAGTATACCTAGCACCTTGGTGCAAGTCACAGAGGAGACTCTGCAGGAGACTCTGCCACCAGGTAGCAACAAACAAAAGGAATTCTGCTGAGAAGTCCAAGGAATCCCTTGCTTTCCCTTCTCCCCCTCCACTAAAACAAAAGGAAAGGGGGACTGATTTTTCCAATAAGTCTCCCTACTCACCCAAAGATCACTTGAGGTAAAGCAGGCATGACTTATTTGCATCCAAGAGCAATAGTTTCCCAATTCCCAATTAGGGTAGAAGAAGAAAAGATTGAAAAGAAAACAACACAATTTAAAGTAGCAGTAATAACCTCCCTGGTGCCAGGTGCTGATGAAACTACAAGTGAAAGTCAGGCTAGGCAAATGAAAGCCTGGACACAGCCTCGAACAGCCAGGGCTAAAAGAGAGGCAACTGGGTCGGCACTGACGGTGCAGGCTGAGGCTGAGCCTGTGGAGCAACCAGCACGAAAGCCCAGGCATCATCCCAGATTGAGAACAGGAAGAGCAAAATCTACCCACGAACTGGGGAGTGACAGACACAACGGAAAGACAGAAATTGTTTGAGAAGACGCACAGATCTGAAGGCAACGGGCAAGGGAGACAGAAGGACCACGAGCAATACAAACAAGGAAACCACTGTTTCCTTGCAAATGAGCAAAACACCTTCTCCATCTTAGAGTCACAGAATGAAGATATGGAGGATCTCCTGGACAAGGAATTCAAAAATGTCATGATAAAACTCTTTGGAGACAGTGAGAAAACAAAGTCAAGAATTTAAGGAATATCTCATGATGCACATAATAAGCCATAAAATGGATATTAATTGAAATACTTGAAGGATACAGCACAGCAAAACTTAAAAAGCAACAGAAAGCCTCACCAATAGAGTGAGCAAAGAAGAAGAATTTCAGAATTAGAAGATGCCTTATTCAGGTTCTGGTGTGATGACTCATCAGCTAAATCCTTGCCTTGTGTGAGCCAGGATACCACATGGGCACTGGTTTATATCCTGGCTGCTTTCACTTCTCATCTAGCTCCCTGCTTGTGGCCTGGGAAAGTAGTAGAGGACGGCCCAAAGCCTTGGGACCCTGTACCTGCATGGGAGACCTGGAGGAAGCTCCTAGCTCCTAATCCTGGCTTTGGATTGGCTCAGCTCCAGCTGTTGTAGTCACTTGGGGAGTGAACCAGGAGACAGAAGGTCTTTATGTAAATCTGCCTTTCCAATAAACAAAATAAATCTTTTTTTTTTTAATGCCTTATTTGAGGACACAGAAGTAATCAGAAATATGGAAGGGGAACTGAATAAAGCTAAGAAAACCAAACAAGAATTGAACAACACAATGGAAAAATAAGGGTTATAGGAGTTCCTGAGGGCATGGGACTAAAACAGGCAGGATCAGATAAGATACAGGGGAAAAGCAATCAGAATCACTGCTGAGTGCTGAGAGAAACTCTTCAAGCTGCAGAAGAGTGACATTTTACAAGTCCAAAAGACTGAAAAACTGTCAAACAGAAAAATATATCAGCAAAGCTCTCATATTTGTGTGTGAAAATGAAATAAAATACTGACTGTGCCAATACAACTGACAGACTTCACTGTCACTAGAACAGCCCTACAAATGTTATTAAAAAATGTGCTGAAGACAGAGAAGAAGAAAATGATCTACCGCCAAAGACGGCCAAGGGGTACACTCTACACAATAAAACCACGAAAGAAGCCAAAATTTAACAAAGAGAAACCCAATGCAAAAATGACAGGACCAAATCCTTACCTGTCAATAATACTATATCAAAACACAAATGGTTTAAACTCATCAGTCAAAAGACATAGATTAGACTGTCTAAAAAAAAATAAGACCCATCTCCTGTTTGCTTACAGGAGACACATCTCAGTACCAAAGACACACAGAAACCGAAGTGAAAGGATGGAAATGGCTATTTAATGTTAATGGAAAGCAGAAATCAAGTAGTGCAGTCATTCTAATATCAGATGATAAACTTCAATGTGAAAAGCATGAAAAGAGAAGAAGATGAATACCATAAAATGATAAAGGATTCATCCAGTGAGAAGGAACAATGATGATAAATGTATACACGTCAAATGCCAGGCCACCTGGCTACAGGAAACGACCTTTCAAAGAACTAAGGGGAAATATCGACCCCCAATACAATAATAGTGGAGGACCTTAATACCCCACTAATATCAACAGATTGAGGAGAAGAAACTCAGCAAGTAAGCAGTAGATCTCACCCAGACAATAGAGCAATCAGATCTAATTGGTATCGACAGAACCTTTCAGCCGATGGACACTCAATATACCTTTTTCATCTGTATGTGGGACCTGGTCCAAGGCTGATCAGTCACATTATAGCTTACAAATGAGCCTCAGCAAATTTAGGAAAAACAGAAACCATCCTATGCATCTTCTCAGACCATCATAGAGCAAAACTGGAGATCAGTAAGTCAAACTACTCCAGAAAATATGCAAATACTTGG